TTTATTTATTATTTTTAAATATGACCAGAGAGAGAGAGAGAGAGAAGGAAAGCGAGAAAGCAAGCTGCCCGGTCCAGAACTCAAACTGTGGTCAGCCATGTGGGAGTCCAGTGCCTTAACCACCAGGCCAGCTGCTAGCCCCCGAAATGGGTTGTTATAAAAGGAAGATGGCTGCCCTCAGTTTTCTTTGCACGTGCCCTCCATCCTCTGCTTCTGTGGGACATGTGATGTGGCTCCTGAGCCTGGTCTGATGCTGGCCCCAGGCTGTTGGATTTTCCAGCCAGAATCATAAGCCAAATAAACATCTATTCTTTACAAAACACCTAGTCTCAGCACACGTAGTGTTAGTTAGCAGCACAATAATGGACTAAGGCCCCAGGTGAACTCACAGTGAAGGAGAGCTGGCGGGAGAGAGCGTTCACTTCATACTAAAGTAACAGAATGGACAAAAGTTGAGAAAGAAAAAAAGCGTAGGAAAACAGACACAGATTCTGACCTCATAGGACTTAGGGACTAATGCAGCAAATAAGACACTCATGAGGATGCTGGCAGATGGTGAAGTGGTTATGTTGCTGGACTCCCACATGGTTGACCATGGTTTGAGTCCCAGACCTGGTGGCTTGAAATTCACGTCGGGTATATGTGTGTGTGCATGCCCAAGATCTCAAGAGGAGAATGAAGAAGGGATTATGGTGTGCCCTTCCCCCACCCACCAGGAGGTAAGTTCTCACTTTCCCTCTCAGTGTCTGTCTCTTTCTCTGTGATGAGTGCACACACCCTAAGGCACAAATTTCTTAAAAAAAAAAAAAACACTCGTGGAACCATTAAACACACATGTAATTACAATTGTGATCAATGTTCTAGAAAAAGCCTTCAGAGGAACCAGCAGATGGCGTAATGGTTACGTCGCTGGACTTCCACATAGTCTACAACGGTTTGAGTCCCGGACTTAGTGGTTTAAAACTCACATTGAGCACTTGTGTGTGCGTACCCAAAATCCCAAGAAGAGATTGAAGAAGGGAGTGTGGTGTGGCTATCTCCCATGGGGTGACTTCTTGCTTTCTGCTCTCTCTGTCTCTCCAGCAAACGTACATACCCTATAGCAAAAATCTCTACAAAAAAAGAAAGAAAGAAAGAGAGAGAGAGAGAGAGAGAGAGAAAGAGAGGAAGAAAAAGCCTACAGAGAGCGAAGAGAGCATATTAGAGAACTTAATCTCGCTTATGGTGTGTGAGAAAAGACTTCCCTGAGGAAGTGATATTTAAGCTGAAATCTGGAGGAGGAATGGGATACCTAAGTGAAAGGGGAAGGGCGAGCAGAGGATCACCTGCACGAAGGCCCAAGGTGGGGGGAGTACAGGGGCTGGAAGGAACTGAAAGCAGACCTGTGTGCTGGTGTGCTGACAGTGAGGTGGAGAGGGGAGCCGTGGCCAAGCCATGCAAGGTGGGAAAGGAGCTGTCAGGTGGACAAATGGTACGACCTGCTTTGCATTTCATAATCAGCACTGGGACTTCAGCACAGAGGAGGTGATAGTGGATAGAGGGTACCTGCGTTGGGGGCTATTGCAGCTGTGCAGGAGAGAGACTTAGTCAAGGGTGACAATAGCCAAAGAGGGATAGACTCAAGAGTCACTAAGCAGAGGGGCCAGCAGATGGCATGGGGCTATGGTGCTGGATCGTACATGGCCACCTGGGCTGTTGAGTCCCAGAACGGCAGCTTGAAAAAGTATGCAGTATGCTGGAGGGGCTGGTAGGTGGCATTGTGGTTGGGTTGCTGGATTCCCACATGGCTGACAACAATTTCAGTCCCAGACCTAGTGGCTTGCTTTCCTCACTCTCTCTCTCTTTGTCTCTCTCTGGTTGAGTTGAATAATAATATTAAAATAAATAAAATTGAGTAAATAATTCTTTTAAAAAAGAAAAAGAAGGGAAACAAAAGAAAAAGAGAGAGAGAGAGAAAAAAAAAAAAACGCACTGAGAGGATACCCAAAATCCAAAGAAGAGACTGGAGGAAAAGGAATTGCAGCATGGTCATCCCCCCGGGTGGTGATTTCTCACTTACCCTCTCTCTCTCTCTCTCTCTCTGTCTCTCTCTGGTGAGCGTACGTGCCCTATAACAAACAAACAAAGAAACGAGAGTCACTAAGCAGGTACAGGAAAAGCCTATGGGGTGTCAGAGAGAGGACAGCGTCAAGCACAAGTCCCAGGTTTGCCCAGTCATGATGTGGCTATTCATTGGCACCATTACTAGAACTCAGAGAGGGAGTGCAGATGGAGAGCCAGGGCTGGGGGAACTCAGTCTGAATAAACACTGAAGTAAAGGGACTGGTGAGACGTCGGGCATTTAGACATACGGACCTGAAGCCCAGAAGAGAGCGGCAGTAATGAGAACCACTGGAGATAGGAGGAACCCAAGGGTGGTATGTGGCGAGCATGTGAAATGAAAATAGGAGGTCCAAAAGCAAGCCTGCAGGAACTCCGCACTAAAAGCTGGATGAATGAGGACAAGCCAACAAAGGACTGGCAGGCAGTCAGAGAGAGGGGGAAACCAGAAGAATACGGAAACCAAAGAACATAGAAACCAAAGGAAGAAAGCATTTCTATATGGACAGAATCATCGACAGAGCCAATTTATGCCGAAAAACTAGGTAACCTAAGAACCGAAAGGTGCCTATTGCACTTGGTTGGAAGTCACTGACTATCTTAGCAAGGAAGCCAGCTAGCTGTGTGTTTTGGAGGGTGCTCTTGCTAAGTGAGCAGTGGCTGGGGGAGTGGAGGGGCGGATGCCAGATTGAGGGGGTGAGCATGAGTGGGAAGAGAGCACATGGAGGGCCCTGCTTGACTCTTCTACCCAGAGTTGATGTCAAAATAGTAGAAACAACTTCTCCCTGTAGCAACTGTATCCTCAAATAGTGAAGCCGATAAGAACTAAATAGATGCGAGGGAGAGGAGGTAGAGTTTTGTATTCGTAATTTGTACTTCATAGTCATGATTTGGTCAACCCTAACCCTAACCTAGTCTCTTGAAGCAAGGCAAACAGTAACCATGATAATGTTAGGAAGGGGAAGAAAGGGTAGGTGGGGAAATGGGTCTTGGTCTTTGCGCATCTTCTCCTGGGTCATGTCACTGGACTGTACCTTTCAGCATTTTGACTGCAACCTGGACCGAGACTCCTGTTTTACTAATTCCGTAAGCAGTTGCATTCATCACTTTTCCGAAAGCCCCCGATCCTAGTACCTTCCCTGCAAAGATAAATGGCAAGTAAGTGCATCTTAAGGATTTTTCCAAAGGAAAGACAATGCTGTGGAAACATTTAGAACATTCGATTCTTACCAAACTCTAAATTTTCTCTTGGAAACTCCCATTTGAGATCGTATTCATATTCTCTGAAATCAATGTAGAAGTACTCATTATCTGACGAGCCGGTCACCTGGACCATCTGCAGCTGGCTTTCGTACCTAAATTGCTTCAGAGAGGAAATACACAGTCAGTTAGGGACAGGCAGCTGTGCAGATACAGAGACAATAAGGAATTTTTACCTTTGCTTTTACCTTTTTGTACTTGTGACAAATTAGCATGGTTAAAACGGCAATGAAAGGAAGACAAAACCCAATTGTTGCATAGAATGAGATGTTGTCTTGGATGAAAGGAAAGGGGCCTGCAACAAAAGAGTGTCACTAAGCAATGAAAACATAATTCCTGTTTGATATTATAAACAGCAGACGCTTATTGTAGTCTCTCAGATCCTGTTCGTGTAACCATATTTTCAGGTTTTAAGGACATGCTACACAGACTCAGCCAGCCACAGAAAATCAGGCCACGTCCCTAATAAGGACGTTTCCTCCCTAAAAAAAAAGTTTAAATTATTCCAAACCCATTTTTTAACAATCATTTCCTGGGGTTATAAGGATTACACCTATTTAAAAACCACAGCATGTTCAAGTCAGATAAAAGAAGTTTGTGTTCCTGCGCTAAGGATATCACATAAAGGGGGAGTAGTTCGTTTTGTGAAGCGGTGATTCTAGTCACAGCATGGGTGGCCAGCTTTTATAACTGTTTCATTTAAGAGGGTTCTAAAATACAAATAAAAAAATTTAAGACAGAAAGTTAAAGACAGATAAGGAGATTAATCAAAAGGGAAAAGGATAGAGACTCCAAATTACTAAATCTGTTTGTTTTGAGTTTTTTTTTTTTTTTTTCCAGTCAATATCATTATGCTGAGGGTTTCTGGTTCTCTACATCACCGTAAGTTGTGAGTCATAATAAGGTAGGTAAGATTCTGTCCCCCAAACAGTATGTCAGTGGGGATTCTTGCCTGACTCAAAAACCCTCTTTTCTCACACATGGAACCTATCAATAGATGCTCTGTAAAATCCCCCAAATAAAAGTCAGTGAGGAAGACTAACTTCTAGTGGGGAAATCCTGATGGTGGCGTATTACAATAGCGACTGCTGTATACCTGGTGAACTTAAAAGGATTGTTTCACAAGACGTGCCAACAGAGTTGTATGCACAGCACTTAACCAGGAATCCTTCCACGGCCTCACTCATGTTTAGAGTGCTGCTCGATACCCACTGTCCAAACACTTTTCTGTTAGCCTTTTTATTCCAGACTCCTTCTGTGATTTCTTCTGTGCAGCTGAAAAGAAATAGCAGAGAAATTAGACAGGAGAGTCTGTTGCCAGGTTGGAAGTTAGAGTTTCTGTAGCAAGATCTATGAGATTCACCTATTCTAAGTTAACAGAAACAATCTAGACCTTTGAGAATTATGGTTGATTCAGAAAATAAGCATTTTAAACATTCACCATTTCTTCTTTCTTTTTTTTTTTTTTGAGAGTGTTTTTTGCTATAGGGTGTGTGTGCTCACTGGAAAGACAGAGACAGAGAGAGGAAAAGTGAGAAATCACCACCACCACCACCCCGCAAGGGGGGTGACAATTCCTTCTTCTCCATTCTCCTCTTGGGATTTTGGGCGTGCATGCACATGCACCCAGAGTGAGCTCAAGCTGCCAGGTCTGGGACTCGAGCCATGATCAACCACGTGGGAACCTAGGGCCTTAGCCACTACCTCACCTACTGGCCCCTCATCGTTTCTTCTTCTTCTTTTTTTTTTTTAGAGGTTTTTGCTATAGAGCATGTGCGCTTGCCAGAAAGACAGAGAGAGACAGAGAGATGGAAAGCGAAAAACCACCCCCCACGGGGGATGGCCATGCCGCAATCCCTTCTCCTCCATTCTCCTCTTGGGATCTTGGGCACTCATGCACATGTGCCTGGTGTGAGCTTAAGCCACCAGGTCTGGGACTTGAACCGCAGTTGACTACATGGGAGTCCAGCAACATAGCCATTACGCCAATTGCTGGTCCCTGGCTCCTCATCATTTATTTTCAAATTGTATTCATGAATAAGGGTCAGCCCATAGGAACTTCAAAATGATCATGGAAAATGGAATGAATGTCTGAGTTTCTTTTAGTGCAAACCAATTTGAAATCCAGGGGCTGGATGGTGACACAACAGTAAAACATGTTCCAAGGTAATCCCACATGGGAAGGTTCCTAGTTCATGTCTGGAGACCTCCCTTAGTAAACTAGGCACTCACTTTCCATGATCTTGGGTGGCTGAGACTGGGAGTGAATTGTGGTATCAAGATGCTGTTGGGGGATGTTGTCTCTCTCTTTCTCTTTCTCTCTGTCTCTCTCTCTGTGTCTCTCTTGCTTATAGAAGAATTTTTAAAAATGGATTTATTTACATTTATTCACTATACATCATTACAGCATACAAAATGAGATTTCCCATCCAGAATACACTGTATATTGGCTCAATCAAGTGCATCAGCATACGTGTTACCATCAACAAATAATTTTCCATTTCTTGTTTCTTGTATATTTTGCTTTTTATTTTTTGACATCCTTGATTCCCTATTTCTCACCCTCTGCCATCTCCCACTCTCCTCCCACACTGTCTCGGGTATCCATGGTTGCTTTCTATTACCCCCCCCCATTTTATTGATTCACTAATGAACTTAATCAACCTAAATATTTCCAATAGCAAGCACAGCTGATATATACATATCCATGAACACAAGTCTGACTTTAGGCATAAAACTCAATGAGTAGAATGAACATACTATAAAGTAGCACCTAGCTGGGGGTATATAGCTTACTGCAGTCATCAGATAGGCATTTTTATTTTTTTAATTTCAAGAAAAACAGTTTTTGTGTTTTTTTTCTCCTGAAACTTTTTTTTAAATTAATTACTTTACATTCATCACCTAAGCATCGTCACAGTATACAAAATGTGGTTTCCCATCCAGAATATACTGCATAGTGACTTAATCATGCATGTTATCATCAATAATTTTCCATCTAGTTTTATATATGTATTTACCAGTATGTCTGACCCTCTGCCCTTTCCCACCCTCTTCTCATACTATCTCTGGTGTCTACAGTTGTCTTCCATTCCTTCCCCCCCCCCCATTTTATTGATCCATGCACAGCTTTTTCAGAGTACTCATTTTTCATGAACTTTCTGAGGACCCCTCATATGTCAGAGGGTTTTGCAATATTACAAAACAAGTGGCATCACGGTGTTTATTACTTGGAAGACTCGTCTGCACACTTCTTCCAGGTCCAAGATGGTAGTGGGTATCCATCCGAAGAACATGATGCCTGACTCGCTGATGCTTCAGCTAGCACTTGAGGTTTCCCTGCAGAGAATAAACATGTAAGAAAAGAAAATAAGGTTGTGGGGGGAAAAGGAATGGATTGTCCAGAAATGGTTTCCAAGTCGGCTTTGGTATAGGCTGCCCATTCACTTCAGGGCAGTTTGTGCTTCTGGGAGGGTCTCATTCAGGGGGCCTCGAGCCCTCTGGCTATTTCCTCTTGCCAAGTAACCTTGATGGGCAGCCCGAACACCTCTCCCCTGAACATCCCTTTCCCGCTGCTAATCTCTTCTACAGAGAGCTGAGGTCTGGCTTTACTTGCACACATCACAATGATTCTTAGCTTCTGGAGAAGGATCTGCAGGAGGTCCAATGAAATGTACTCTCAATTTTAATTTTTATTATTTTTATTTTGATGTCCCTCATCTTTTTATAGATCAAAGAGATGAAGATTATTGAAACAAAGAAATGACAGGTTATATTACTTTCAGTCTTTCCTTAATATGACCTGACAAAATATTGGGTCATCAGAGAAGTTATGATGTGTTTTTCTGTGCAAAAATGCATCATGACTTTTCTGACTACCCAGTACTAAAATAAAAAACAAAATGTAAGGGATAAGAAATGGAAAATTATTTGTTGATGATAACATGTATGATTAAGCCAATATACAGAGTATTCTGGATGGGAAATCACAATTTGTATGCTGTGATGATGTTCAGTAAATGAATGTAAAACAAATAAATTTTTTTATAAAAGTTAGGAACAGGGGCCATCAAGTGGCCTGATGCTTAAAGGTGCTGGACTCCCACATGGCTGACCATCAAGCCTGGTGGCTTGCTTTCTCACTTTCCTTTTCTTTCTGTCTCTGTCTTTCCCTGGTCAAATTAAAAATAATAATAATAAATAAAAGTAAATAAAAATTATTTTTAAAAAGAAGGTTACTATTAAAAAAAACTTAACAACACTAAAGCACGTTCAGAGAGGATATACAGAACAAGTCTTTTAGCTTTTGAGGATAAACACAGAAAGAGATATATGTAATCAAGGTGCATAGTCAAATTCCATAGCATTTCAGTATACAAATCAGTTTGGGGGCACCCCTTCTAAGCCATTACTTAGCTCTTCCTGGTAAGATTAATAAAGAATTAAGGAGCTCTAACAGAAAAAAAAAATTCTTAGCAATTTCACTTACTTCTTATGTTCAGTGTGAACATTTTGGTGAATTGAGCATCATCATTTTCTGCATGGAATATATATTCTCCTGGCTGGTGTTTATGGTTGCAAAACTTCGATATGCTGTTTGAAAAAAAATGAAAGACAGACTTAGCTCAACTCTTTTTTTTTTTTTTTTTTTTTGGAGAGATTTTCACTGTAGGGCACGTGCGCTTGCCAGACAGAGAGAGACATAGAGACAGAAAGCAAGAAATCACCCCCCAGGGGGGATGGTCACGCTGCAATCCCTTCTCCTCCATTCTCCTCTCGGGATCTTGGGCACGCAC